CATCGTTGTGGCCTGCAAGATTGTTGCTTTGGTTAATCTTTTGACTATAGGTGCCGTGTTCTAGCATCATATGTAGAAATGAAGCCGCATTTCCTATGAATCACGCAGCCCTTATTCTTGCGGGCAAGGGGCAAAAACGCAGTACGAGAGTGCGAAAAGGATGTTAGTCATTTCTGCAGGATAATGGTGATGGGTAGGTGAAGAAGTAGGTATCGAAAGATAGCCCCTATGCATTTTTCTTCTTGCGAGGAACTTCTGATAGGTGGCGTGTTTTTTCCAAAAGATATCAGTTGTACGTGATGGCATGGGCAGCGTGACAGCCTCACAGACGATACTACGCCGGATGCATGTAAGGCTGTAACGTCCTTGCAGTATTTACGCGTACGGCTGGAGTCGGCATCAGCGCATCAACCACGGACCACGGAGATGGTTCAAACAATAGTAGCCGTTGATCAAACAACGATGCATGTGAGTCTACGGCTGGGTCGTACTATACATAGATAGCGATTTCCAAATGTACAAGCAAGCGAGTTCCTATGTAGTCACAGAAATGAAAACTTCTGAATCTATATTTCCTTCTCCAAACCAACCAGGTGGTGGGCTATTGCTCTGTGCATATTTTCTCCGGGCTTGGTCAGGAAGGAATGCCAGACGCCATGGTAGGAAGGTTTGGGAACCAGGTGCAGCCGTGCGGCATATCTCCACGATGCTGGAGGAGTCGACTATGCTTAAAATGCCGGTCAAGCCGACTCAGCCAAGAAGGGAGAAGCAGTGACAGAAGCCGGCCGAGGGGTGGATCAAGATGAACACAGATGCTGCGTTTGATGATACTACCGCTACGGGCAGTAGTGGGGTTGTGATTCGTGATTGCAATGGAGTGGTGCTTGCTGGCGCGGCGCGCTGGCTTGATCATGTGCCGGACGCTCTTACTGCTGAGGCATATGGCGGCAAAAGAGGGGCTTGAGCTAGCGCTGGAGAACGGCTATGACAAGGTAATCCTGGAGGTCGATTGTAGCGCCCTGAAGTCCATGGTTGATAATCGCAAGGGATTAAGGTCCTCAGTTGGAGGAATTTGCTTTGATATTACAGAGTTAGGCAGGAGTTTTTGTGATTTCAAAATTGTATGCGTAGGGATGCTAACTCGGCGGCCCACCATTGTGCAATATGGTGTCGGCCACGAAGCGCGCCCTTTTTTGGCTAGACTATATCCCAGAGCGGTTGTTGGGAATAGCTGCCGCTGATTGTACTCCTATCGTTGATTAATGAAGCTCTGTTTTGCTCAAAAAAAGAAAGAAAGAAGACCCCTAAGAATCAACGACATCATTTATCCGTTGTATTCCACAAAAACAAACATCCGAATTCATTCTCAATGCCTAGAAATTACTACCACGTTACTTAGGGAGAATAAAATTGTTTACCGATAAATTACCCGCCTCAATAATTCAATCATTCATCATTGCGCAAAAATTAACCTAGAAATATCCTTATGGGTCATTTGGATCCTTTCATTTTGGAGGAATTGGAATCTACTTAATGGATTAGGCTGTTTGGCTTGAAATTTGACATTCCACAACTTTTTCAAATTCACATATAAGCCTATCTCAAATTCATAAGTTGGGAGATGAAAATTGATTTTATAGATCACTATACTATGATTCTACCATGTAACTTATAGCACGCTTCTCAACTCGCTTCCCTACAGTAGAAATGCAACATATAAGTATCTTCCTTGTATGACTGATAATAGTATACAAATATATTCCATATACAACCATATTAGCTTAATAAATCTGTGTCTAATTTATAATTATTAGAATGAATTCAATTCAAGAATAAAAAATGGGCCTTAATGTGTTTATCCATTACCACTACATACCATTATTATAGCTTGTTTATGTTGGCTAAGTGATTGAATCTTTGTCTTCGAATGAAAGGAGATTCAAAGTTGCAAGTCAAATTATATTTTGTTGTCAAATATGATAAAAGATAACCATAGTTCAATGTATAAAAAGGTCAAAGATAAAGACCAACTACTGTGGATTTGTGACACATGTCTATGTGCATGCATCCAACACAAAAGAGAGATATAATAACTTTTCTTTCCGTTTATTCTTTCTAAATTTAAGCAACACGATGAGGACCGTCCCCGCTGAATTTACTTGACAACTTCCAACGACGCAGAAGATTCACGTCCAGCATACGGCCTAATGGGCCATTTTCATAGATATGTTAGGTCTAATGCGCCAATGTCATTGATATGTCTGGTCATCAGATTCAAGCTTTTTTTTTCGGAATTTTTTTTGAGATAACACAATGCCGCTCACAACGTACGCAAACAAAATGTGGATCGTAAAAGAAAAAATAGCTACTGTTGGGTTAGCAAAAGCCCAGGAAGCCTAAGGGACCGGGCCAGTTTTTTCTATACGAAATTTTACCTATGAAAGGAATCTAAACAGTGCAGGCCAGCTCATACAGCTTGGCGCGGAGATAAGGTCCAGGAAGCGACGAAAGCATGGGTCATTTCTATCTTTTTTTTTAGTCACACTTCTATCTATTTCTGATGGGCTGGGAGGCAGCGATCCGTGACGGCCCACATCTTCCAGGAGCGAGAGGAACAGCCTTCACTAATGCCCAAATAGTTGCGTTTCTTCATTTTCTTTTCTTCCCTTTGTTTTATTTCTTTTTATTTTCTTTTTATGGTTTTTTATAATTATATTTTTTTATCTTTTACCTCTATTTTATTTGTTCACTTTTTGTTTTTTTGTCTTTCTTTTATGTTCTTACTCCCTCTGTCCAAAAAAAAAAACTTAATGTTCTAGTTTGTACTAAGTCAAACTATCTAAAGTTTTGGTCAACTAATCTTTATATTACCAAATAAGTATCGTTACATTCGTCATGTAACATATTTGAGGTCACAAATGTTAGCAAATTTATCTGTAGATTTGGTCAAACGTAAAATAGTTTGACTTAGGACAAAACTAAAACATCAAGTTTTTTTTAAACTGAGGGAGTGTTAATTTTCTTCCATTTATTTTCTCGATTTTTATTTTTTGTATGCTTTGATTGTTCACATACTATTCATGTGATGTTCTGTGGTATATTTTCCGAATCATAACATCCGAGTGCTCGGACCATACCACAGTGTTGCCAACTTGTTCATATGAGTCGCATGCATCTATGATTGGTTGGGCCATTAATTTCTTTACTCGAATGAACAACTGTATGTCCATGCGTGATGAAGGTGAGAGGTGGATACATGGCGTAGGTTTCCATTGATGTAGTGTTTTTCTTATTCTTTTCTTTTCTTTTGCATTTCATTTCCCTTTTATATTTATATTATTTTCACATTTCATTTTTTGTTTTACCTTTTTTCCTTATTGCTTATATTTTCCCCTTTTTATATATTTGTGTGGCTTACATCATATACCAGTATGTTTGTTTTTGTTTAACTATAGAATTAATTTGTGCATTTGTGATGTGTCTTTTGCATGTTATGCATTGTAGCACACACAAAAACATTTATAGTTACTCTTTCAATAAACAAGTTAAATGTATTTTTCCCTTTCTTTATGTTCCTTTTTGTTTTCTTTTTACTTTCCTTTATATTTTTATCTATTTTTTATTTAGTATTTTTTCTATATATTTAATTTCTTGTGGCTATGTTCTTGTGATATACTGATATTGTGATGATGTGGCTATATATATATATATTTCTCTATTTTCCTTTTCATTTCCTTTATATTTTATTTTCCTCTATTTTTTTTTATTTTAGTGTTTGGTTTGTGCACTTAGTATAAATGTGATGTTCCATGACTTATCTTTTTTATTATTCACACATTCATGAGATGTTCCATGTTGCAATTTATGTGGCATGTGATGTTATTTTTATTTTTATATTTTTCTCAATCATTTGGCATTTCCCCCTTTTTATTACTTTTGTTTTTATTTGTTCACATAATATATATGTGATGTTCCATGATATATTTTTTATGGTCCACTCGAGTGTTATGGTGTATTTTAAGTTGTTTTTCTAGTATCCATGGGTTCTTAGATGGTATAATTTAATTGTTTCTAATATACATGAAATGTTTTCCATTTTCTAGTACTGGACACAAATTTATGGAATACCAATGAACCTGTAATTTATTCTCCTAGATCTAGAATATTATTGTCATGAACCCTATTTTAGATCAAAGGCTTTATGCCCTGAGCAAGGTTACTGGGGATACTGGTTTGATAGAGACAAGCACAAACTTACAAACCAACCTAACTCAACGACACAACTCTAAAGACACACCTCCACATGACCTGAACAGAGTAAACTTCGAGAACAAGCAGGTTTATCAAACCACCCCAAACAACAAACAAACTAACAACCAAGCCACCAGACACAAAAGAAAGATTATTATTCTGAGCCTAGAACATCTTTCTTGTAAACGGAACATTGTTTTCTTGTCCTGGAATATTGCTTTGCTTCATAAAAAGAAATTATTCTTATCTTTATGAGTTAAATATTCGTTAACAAAATATTATTTAAAGATATTCAAATAGGATCTTGTTTTGTAGGATTTATGATAAGAAACATTATGGTGCAATAGGAATTTAATTTGAATACTTGTTTGTAAACTATGGATTTTCTTTAATTTCATCCGAAACCATGATATCATCTGAGCCCAAACCTCGTTATCAAAGCCTACAATCATCGTCGCTGCATCGCGAAGACCCCACCACACACGACCCAGTGCGGCGCGGGAGCGCAGCTCAGGGACTCAACAACCGCGCCAAAACTACTCGTCGCTGCATCGCGAAAACACCACCACACCACGACGCCTGGCGGCCGCGCGCGGGAGTCACAACTCAGGGGCTCAACAACCGCGCCAGCAGTATAGCCAGCACTAAGCTCGGGAAAAATATCTTAAGGCGCGGCTGCGACACGGAGCATGTGGGTGGCCTGGTGCGCTATCTCCCCTGCGCGCGCGTCCCCGCTCCAGGAGTTCTCGATGGCGCCCGCGCCCGCGGCTGTCGTCGCAGCGGCGAGCCCGGCAGTGCTCCCTCGCTCATCGTCCCCAAGGAGCAGACGTCCCCAGGGCCGTGCCTGCTCGTTTCGGTGCGCCGGGCCGAGCGCACGCCCCTCAACACTTGTGTCCTCCTCTGTAAGTCAGCTCCAGCACAAACTCCAAGCTTATCCACTCTTATCTTTCCAGCTCGTGCTCGCGCTCCGCTTCTGTTATCCGATAGCACGACGGACATCGTACCTCGCACAAGCTCATGCTCCTTCGGGCTTCCGCGACAATTGGAAATTTTGATTTGGCCAATCGTTCGTCGTACCAACGCTAGTGTCACTAGTGCCGTGTGCGCTCTGGCGTGACGATTTCAGTTCCCATACAGCTGAAGTCGTGCTGCGCTGGCCATCCCCGGATTCGGCAGCCGTACGGACGGCCGCACTGCAGCCAGCAGCAGGCAGAAGTGGTGGGCAGCACCGTCGACGACGACGAGGCGTGCGAGCTGGTGAGCGGCTCGGACCTCGTCATCGGCGAGGGCGACGACAGCGTCAGCGCGTACCTTTTCAAGGCCGTCAAGAACAACAACGGCACCGGCGTCCTCCTGCTCTCCGACATCTTCGGCTTCGAGGACTCCGCCACGCGGGACTTCGCCTACCGCGTCGCCTGCAATGGCTACAAGTACTAAACCTTGTCCACGCCAATGCCATATGATACTCACTTCTGCATCCAAGTCTAATCTCTCGGTGTCTGTATGCCCGCAGTGTCCTGGTTCCCGACTTGTTCCGTGGGAACCCGTGGAAGCTGAACGTCCCGTTCGTCGCCGGCGGCGACAGCATCCAGCAATGGCTGGCCGGACATGCCCCGGGGCGGGTGTCCGGCGACATCGACGCGTGCACGCGGTGGCTGGTGGACGAGTTCAAAGCCGCGGGGGTGTCCAAGAAGCTGGGCGTGGTCGGGTTCTGCTACGGCGGCGGGCGCCTCGTGGAGACGCTGGCGCGTGACGCTGACGACAACTGCTTCAGCGCGGGGGTCTGCTTCTACGGGTGCCCGATGGACGCGTCCCTGGGCGATCGTATCGCGGCGCCCGTCCTGTTCGTGTGCGGCGACGGCGACCCGTACTGCTCCGTGGAGATGGTGCAGGAGCTGGAGAGGCGCGCGAGAGGCGCCCGGGCGGCGGTGTACGCCGGCAGGGGCCACGGGTTCGCGCACCGGCCGCAGTCGGTGGAGGATGATGCCGACGCCGAGAACGCGTTCAACGCGATGCGGGGGTGGCTGCACGACCACCTGCTCGCCTGATCAGACGGTGTAGACAAAGCGCGGTACACGGGTTGGGTGTTTTGTACGTAAATAATGTGGCAGTGGAGTGCAAGGTTTACCCATAATCAGTTGCAAATCAAGGATGCTAGATTGCTAGTAAGAGTTTGAGTGAATTCAGTAATACCCCTGAATGCGAAAGTGTTATTTGTGGTACTTCAAAAACGATGACCTTTGTTCCGTTATCCAAAAATTTTTGTGATACTGACGCTGCTAACACTGAAGTGTTCATTAAATGTCCACGTGCCGCGACGGATGCCGGCTGTTTCTTGCTGATGACCTTGGACGCACCAGCCCCCTTTATTTTCTTCGCCTTCGCCGCAGCAGTCGCGTTCTTGGCAGTGGCCTTCTTCGCCTTGTCCTCCAGGGATTTGTGCACCTTCACAGGAACATCATGTTTCTCGTGGTGGATCCCAAACTCTTCAAAAACCCTGTTAAGCTAGGGCAATGTGCCGGCGAGGGCCCGGCGCGCCAGATACTCCTTGTCAGACATTTCACCGAGTATCTCACGCGCCCCCGTCTCGGCGGATTTTACTAACTTCTCAGCAGCCCGACCCTCCTTCTCAAAGCCAAACTGGGGGAAGGGAACCCCAACTCCTTCGCCAAAGACGGGAAGGTTGACCATCTCAATAGTCATGGCGGGTCTATTCCTGCCAAGCGGCCAGCAGTTAGCTGCCACCATTTCCTCCACCAGATCTGGCCTCCGGAATACCGATAGGCCAAGGCAAAAGCCTTATCGCAGGCTTCGCGCCCCTCAGAAGTCCCCAGACCCGGAGTTCCTTGAGTCGAAGGCTTCATCGGGGTCATCACAGGCGCCAACGGAAAACGAGTATTCTTCTTTCCATCTGGGCCAGTAGAAGTCATGCCCCCGGTCCTCACGTAAAACCAGTACTGCATCCAATCCTTCGATCATTTGTTCTTCTGAGCGAAGGAAATTTCCAACTTCTCGCCCTCAAGGGGGGAACTGTTGGAACACGGTTATGAGTCACGGAGGCCAATGTTCGTATAGCATTAACAAGTTTTATGAGCAATGTGTAGGTAAAGAAGACGGAAACCTCCGCTCGGTTGTCCGCTCTGGGTGAAGGCCCAAAAGCCAAGGCTAAGGCACCCGAATGCGGCCGAAGGCGAAGGCTCCTACGGTATAGGCAGAGGCCACGATCTAGGCATCAACCTGAAGGTCCTGGCGAGGGTTCCTCGGGTGGAGGTCCCGAGAACCAGAGGAACTCCCACGGGGCGGCGGTGTTGGGCCGTGGGCCACTGACGGGCTCGCAACAACGGCCCAACAAGCATAGGCGGTTGAAGAAGAAGATGCCTAAACTGTCCCGAGCAACTTGTATTAGCATAGGAATATTCCGAGAAAGAACTACGGCTGTCGGAGGGTAAAATTGTAATACGGAGTGATAGCAATCAGTGCCCTATAAAAGGGGAGACAAATCCTGTAAAGAGGAGGTTGGTGAATTGATTTATGAAACCCTAATTGCGCTTGGGCCCACCTACCGCTTTCTTGGCCTTCGCCTAGGGCATCCGACTAGGCGAAGGCTCCACCACATCGTCCCTACCGAAAACCCAGTTTTCCAACATTGGCACCCACCGCATGTTGGCCAAGCAAAACCCATAATGGCAAGAAAAGAGCAGCCTCCGCTAGAACACCCGCGGAGCCCTCGACGAGGGGACGCCCCAGGCATAGTTCCCGCAGCACTTATGCTAGCACCCCAGAAGACCAGGTTGTAGAAGATCCCACGGTAGTAGATCAGCCTCTGACGGCCGAAGATCAGCAAGCCCTAGATCCCACCCCAGAACAAGTGCTCCAACAATTTCAAGCCTAGTTGCAGAGTACGCAACAAGAAAGAGATGGGCTGGCTGCAACATTCGCTGCCAACCAGAGCGCAACCCAGACATCATTGCAGGCAGCAGAAATCAGACAACAGTTGGTTGTCCTACAGGCAGAGATTCAAAGCATGCAGCAAAGCCAGCCCCAATCCAACACATCTAACCAGCTCCACTCAGCAAATCAAAGTCAACCTAACCCTTCACCAGGTAGGGTCACCTAACCAACCTTTGGCACACCTTTCAACTCACCATCAGTTCACAGAATCATAGATTCAAGGTCCCCACTATCCGAAGGAATCCAAACCTCACCTTGGCCACCATCTTACAAGCCCATTATCCTATCAAAATTCAATGGAAGGTCAGACCCACGCTAGTTTATCATGAGTTTCGAAGCAGCTGTAGCCTCCGTGGGCGGGAATGACACTGTCTTGGCTAAGTCATTTGTTATTACAACCGAAGAAGACGCATTGGCATGGTACTCAATGTTGAGGACAAGTTCAGTATATTCTTGGGAGGACCTTCGAGATAAGATCATCACTAACTTCAAAGGGTTCACCATCGAATCCTTGACGTCAATGGACTTATTTCAATGTAAACAGAATCAAGGTAAAGCACTGAGGGATTATTTTTAGAGATTTGTGCAGCTTAAAGCGAAGGCACCCAATGTCATAGAGGATGTGGCAATCGAGGCCGCAATTAAAGGTCTCCACATCGAAGCCTTCGTAGCTCATCTAGCTCGAGAGAAGCCAAGCACCATAGAAGAATTATACAGAGAGTTTGAGAAGTATTGCAGATCAGACAACGACTTCCGAAGAAGGCTCAAAGAACAAAATCAGAACAAATAGTACCAAGGAAGCAGCAGTAATGCTCAGAGGGGCAACAAAAGCCAAGGCCAGTTACAGCCTCAGCAAGCGCCTAATCAACAAGTTTTCAACATAGAGCAGCAAGGGAGTAGCCAGCAACGGCAGCAGATGCCAAAGGCAGTATCAAACAAAGCATCGCAGAAGCAGTACGAAGGCAAGAAATACAATCAAAGGAAGAGCTAGAACAAAAACCAGGAACCAAGGCAGCGAAGGCAGCATTGCTTCTTTCATGGAGAAAACAAAGGGCACATCACTAGAGATTGCCCAGATGCGAAGGAAACCTAGGAGAGAATAAAAAACAAGGCAAATCCTTAGCCTCCGCCACAACAGCCCGCCAGGGAGGTCAACCACACCTTCATTGTGCCTTTGCAGTAGCCATATTGCCCAATGTACCCAAGCCTTAACTATAGTCAAATTCACCCATCCATCTTAGCAGCCGCATACTACCCCAACTTCCTACCTGCATGACGACCAAGCACCCAGCAGCAAGGGCAGGCAGGTCATCAGCGAGTAGAAGCCAACCTTACCTACATAAACCTAAGGCCTCTGCACATAACATTCATAGAGACAAGCCAACCAGCTCAAATAAACAATAGACAACTTGAAGCACTGCCTCCACCACCACCTGCACCACAGCTAGCCACCCCAAAAAATGAGCCCAACCCAGAAAACCTGCTCAATCCACATACACCACTACCCACCATTGGCATGATACTACCGATAGCCGGATGCTCTTCAATGGAATTTTAGACAAAGAAGCAGAAGAAATATCACCTCAGGCTCGTTAACAACATAGCAGTGCAGGGTACAGTGCACTACACAGATTGGTCGAAGACACCCATCACATTCTCAGAACAAGACCTCCAATTGGAGAGCTACCCCCATGCTGATGCCATGGTGATCAAAGCCAATATAGCAGGCTGGGAAATCAACAAGGTCCTCATAGGCTTTGGAAGCTCTGCAAACATCATCTTTGTTAATGCCTTCGATCAGATGAAACTAAGCAGAAGTCAGCTACAGCCTTTGGATTCACCACTGATAGGTTTTGGAGGAAAAATGATCAATGCATTGGGAAAAATATCCCTGCCAGTTTCTTTCGAAGGCCAGGAAAATGCTAGGACAGAATACGTGACCTTCGATGTAGTAGACATCTACTACCCCTACAATGCCATCTTCGGTAGGGGTTACTTATGTATGAAAATGCTAGCTTTGCACGGCACCATCACAGTGCATGGAAGTCAGAAGGAGGCGAGAAACATAGAAAGAGCAGCCAGAAGCAACTCACCAGAGCCTCCGGACATGCCAAAGGGCAAAACAGATCTCAAAGATCAAGAAGAAACAAAGTTAGTCCCATTAGAAGATGTAGTCCTAGACAAAAAGGTCACTATCGGAGGCAACCTGTCGAAGAAGAAGAAGCAGAACTCATAGAAACTTTAGCCAAGAACAAAGATGTCTTCGCCTGGTCAGCCTCCGACCTGAAAGGAGTCAGCAGGGATATTATGCAACGCTCCCTTGACATCAACCCCAGAATGAAGCCAAGGAAGCAACGATAAAGGAAAATGTCGAAGGATAGAATCTTAGCAGCGAAGGCTGAAGTACAGAGGCTGTTAGACGCAAACGTCATTAGAGAAGTCACGTACTCAGAATGACTGGCAAATGTGGTACTAGTACCAAAGAAAAATGGAAAGATGAGAATGTGCATAGACTTCACAGATCTGAACAAAGCATGCAAGAAAGACCAGTTTCCACTACCAAGAATAGATGCCTCCGTCGATAAGGCGGCAAGATGCAAGCGCTTCTCTCGCCTGGACTATTTTTAGGATATCACCAGATCTGGCTCAACAAAGAAGATGAGGAGAAGACAAGTTTTACTACCCCTTCAGAACTTATTTCTACACCAGAACACCCGAAAGACTAAAGAATACAGGCTCAACCTTCGCCAGAATGACGAAGGTAGTCCTCGGCCCACAGCTGCAGAAAAACATCGTAGCCTATGTTGATAACATTGTGGTAATGAGCAAGAATAAAGATCACATAGCAAATTTAAAGGAAACCTTCGCCAACCTTAGGGAAGCAGGCCTAAAACTAAACCTGAAAAAGTGCGTTTTCAGCGTCAGCAGAGCAAAGATGCTTGGGTATATCATAGGACCCGAAGGCATTCATGCTAACCCAGAGAAGACGAAGGCCATAATCTCGATGGTGGAACCATCAACCAAAAAAGAAGTCTAAAAACTCACTGTAAGGATAACAACATTGAACAGATTTATCTCAAAATCAGCCGAACGTAGC